AGATTTATTTACTCGACATTAAAATTGACAAGCAAATGAAACAACTTTTATAATAAGATCTAACATTTAAATTATTATGAGCTATAACTTATTTTTATATAACTATAAATCTATACTTATGATTGGAAATGATCTCTTTTAAACTTATATATATATATATATTTGTACACATGTTGAATTTTATATTTTTTAATATAACATTTTATTCACATTGACAAACATGAATAACAAATAGTTTTATTTTCTCGCCAATTAGTAGGATAAAAATAGTAGAAAAAAAAACCCAATGTCGTTTGATGTCCTAGTTGGGTGTGTATGTAAATTTCGGGGGAAAAACCAGTTTATTTTTGGTATTAAAAAATCACTACTGTAAATTTTAGCGATATTTGTCACTAGTTTTGTATACATTTTTTTCTGTTTTTATTTCTTTGTTTTTCTCAATCATTTCTTTTTATTTTTTATCCACAAATCTAAATATTATCTATAATTGATGCAAAAATATATTTTATTCGAACATTCGAACTTGTTGAAATTTAAATTATACTACACGCGTATTTTAAAATAAACATTTTTCAAGTTAATCGTAAAGATTTGTTTCTGTTTTTTTTTTTTTCAAATATAAATAAATAAATTTAAATCTACGGTCGAGTCATAAATAACTTCCGTTTTCTTATGAGACAAAGAATGGTGTTTCTGTCACTGATAAGTGCACGACACTTTTCATGGTATTTTTTTTTTTGCACTCTTTGTATCTGCTGAACGTATCTATTGAATTTTACTCCAATATGACCTTTAAAAAGTTAGTCAAAGTCGGAAAGATGTCCTGCACTTGGTTTTAAGATCGTATCTCCAGAACGGAATTTTACAAACTAATTTCTGACTGCCCTATCAGTTATCATGTTATATAGTTATATCGGTAGTCGTGAATAGCCCAAATGGTAGCGACGCACTATCCCATCACGACTACTAACCATTATAGTGATCGAGTCCCAGCAGAGGGTAGAGACTATCCTTCATTGACTTTGACCATGGGTGAAGTCATGAGGCCAAAGTTGTGGATAACATCCTAACGTCGCACTTGATGTCAATCCGGGCTCTCATAGCGTTTACCTCGTTACGCAGCATGCATTATTTGTGCAAATAACGAGTAATAAGACAGATATAAAAATAAAGTTATTAAACTTGTTCTAAAAGAAAAAGTAATTGTCTCCACTCAGTGGAAAAACAAATCAGATAAAGTATGCACTGTATATACGCTGCATATTTTTTCAGTTGCCACTTTAGTGCTATTGCCTTGTTTCAATTCTTAAAGGATTACATATCGAATATGCACTTTTTACTATCCATTTCAGTGGTTAAGAAAAACGGTTAAATGTAACATTGACTGCAAAAAAAAGTTAACGGAAGACTAACTGAATCCTCATCTATATAATGATATCGAAAATCCGTTTGTTTCGGTGACTTATAGTAGATAAATACAAAAAATAGATTCTACATAGCCGCATCGGAAGTTACTTATGACTCGATCTAATAAATAAATAAATTTAAATCTAATATATTAGTTAAGATGATAATAAGGAAGTATTATTATATTAGAAAGACCGGAAAGTAATGTCGTTTTTACAAATGTCCAATTTTGTATATTTTTATCAAAAACCGATTGATTTTTATCAATTTGGTATTAAAAATGTTGTATACGAGATGAAAAAAAGTTGAATAACGAGGGTGTGGTAATTATTATTGATTAAAAATAAAAATTTATTAGAAAAAAATGTATTTGTTTGAATTTAAGGTTAGAAAGCGACATCACTTTCCGATTCACTTAATATTTGGTAAATGATCTAATCACAAATGAATTACTTTAAAGATCAAATATTTGATTGAATGTGTTTTGAATTTAATAAGGAAGGGTTGCTTATCAAAATCAAGTTATGGAAATGTCCGTAATTGCGTAAGTTTTATGTTTATTACGTTAGAGGATATTTATACGATGACATAATATCAGGGTCGTTCATTTTACTTTGTTGACTGATGTCCGTGGACTATAACTTTCTTTTCATTATCGACATATGTGTGGATATTTCATATACACGTTCTTGAATGTGTTCGTGTTGTTCTTACGTGTGTTCCTATACGTGTTCAATTTCGTTCATATATCTTTATCATCGATGGTAGAGAAAGATACTTATTTACTTTTTCTTGCATGTATTAGTTAAAGTCACATATTTGTAGAAACCTGAACACGCATGACTTTCAGGAAATGCTGAGATTAATTGACCTATCGGGTAATATTGCTTATAGTGGAATGCGGAATTTTAGAGTACGACTACCACCTTACATGGTAATTGTTCGTTCCTTAAAAGACGTAGAAAATTTCACTGTTGATTAGAAGGATCTAAGTATATATATATCACCATCTACTACTTTCATTTAGATTATTATAATTTTATTTTATTTTGTTATTTTTTTTTTTTTTTTGATTGCAATGACCACCATGTTTTTTACTTGTAGTGATGCAAAACAATTATGTAATACTACATATGAATCATTTCGTTTTCATACTTTACAACACAAGTGTTAGAAATTTAATTAAATTTCACATTAATACAATTTCAATTTTATCCAATTTTTTATTTCATTTTGTGTTCGCAGCTACGTCCAATATTTTTCACTTTAAAAAAAAAATTAAAAAAAATATAAATTAAAAATAATAATAATATTATATAATAATACACATAATATAATTATAATATATATATATGTGGGGAGTGTTGAATATCAAAGAGTAAACACAGATAAATAGACAGGTAACGAAAGACTATCGAAATAAAGAAAGACGGTGTTTGGACCGCACTTTGTAAGTGAAGAAGTTGTGTGTGTAAGTCCGTGTGAGCTAAAAGGTTCTCGAGCGATATCAGTGATTTGTTTATTGGACCAAGCTGGACGTTGGGAAAATTCGAGAACGATTCAAAAATGTTTTGTCCCTCGGGGATGAAGGGTGGGGGAGAAACCTCATAAAGAGAGGACGGTCACGCGTGAAGGGCGTTTTTTCGGGAGTAGCGTAGAGAGAACCGAACGACGATAGCGAACGATTCGATACGAACGTGATTAGCGAGTGAGTAGTGACCGTGTGAGGTCTGAGTGAGTGTGAGAAGTTGCGAAGCGTAATTATATTGTAACTGTAATAAACAATAACTTGTGTAAATAAAGAATATCTTTTATATCTCAAGTAGTGTCGGCAACACGGGGAGATTAGATATCCTTAGCCGGATACAGAACGATTGATTTCCCTACATATATAACATTATAAATGTGCTCGAAATCCTAATACGACAGGGGATACTAAGAAAATTGGTCAACCTGGTTCAACTTTGCCTAAAGGAAACTAAGGGTAAAGTGAGGATAGGTAACCAAGTGTCGGAAGCGACCAAGTATCCATAGCGGGTTAAAACAGATAGACGCATTGTCACCTCTTTTGTTCAATTTAGTACTGGAATTCGCTGTCAAAGAACTACAGAAAAGTAAAGATGGTCTACAGTTGAACGAGACAACACAATTGTTGACATACGCGGACGATATTACTTTGTTAGGGGACAAAGAAGAGTCATTAATTAATAACGCGAAAATATTAATAGATAATACTAAAGATCTGGGACTGCAAATAAGCGTGGAAAAAACCAAATATATGATAACCGATAGAGTTCAGAAAGGGCCTAGTACTGGAACTTTGATCGTCCGGGATAAAATTTTCGAATGGGTCAGCAACTTTAGGTATTTAGGATCGATCATAAACCAGACGAATGAAATTAACGAAGAACTTAAGAAAAGAATCAATTTAGGCTATTCATGTTTTTATTCGGTTAACAAATTACTCAGCTCGCGGTTACTGTCTAGGCGATTAAAAATCAGGATATACAGGATAATCATCCTACCGGTAGTCCTTTATGGTAGCTAAACGTGGTCGCTTACGTTACGGGACGAAAAGAAATTTAGGGTTTTCGAAAACAAAGTTCTTCGTAAAATCTTCGGTGTAAAACGCGATGAGGAAACGGGCGAATGGAGAAAACTCCATAACGTTGAAGTACATCGATTGTACAACAAACTGGGCATTATTAACGACATAAAATCACGCCGATTAAGATGGGCTGGTCACGTGGCGCATATGGGGAAGGATCAAACGGTGCACAAAATATTGGTCAATATATCGAACGGGAAAAGACCACTAGGTAGACCGAGACGTAGGTGGGAGGATAATATTATTTCGGGATCTTAAAGAAGTAGGATACGAAGACCGCGAATGAAAGGATCGAGCTCAGGGTCAGGAACAATGGCGGGATTTGGTATTTGCGGCAATGAACTTTCGAGTTCCTAACGCCAATTAATAATAATAATAATAATAATATAATAATAATAATAATAATTAAATAATTAATATATTAATTGTTCATAGAGAAATGGCGAGAGGGGTCTATATAAATGAGTATGTGTGGTTTGTTGTGTGTNGGCAATGAACTTTCGAGTTCCTAACGCCAATTAATAATAATAATAATAATAATATAATAATAATAATAATAATTAAATAATTAATATATTAATTTAATATATTATATATAAATAATTGTAATATATATTATATATTAATTAGTATATACAATTTTAATTCTATCAAATTTTGTTATTACATTTCGTGTTCGCAACTACGTCCAATATTTTTCACCTTTTTTTTTGTTTAATAACAATTATAAATATGTATTAAATAAAAAAAAAAAAATACTTATATATTTTAACATCTAAAAAAGATAATTCTATGCTACGACTATAATTTTATAACAAAAATATCTATTCACATGTCAAAAAAAAAAAAAAAAAAAAAACATTTAAATTGCCTATACGCTATTTAAATAATATTTTCGAATTAATCAATTTGAAAAAATAAATGCATAGATAATTTTTTACCTTCTAATTTTAACTCTATGATGTTTTTTTCTTTTTGCCTTCAGGTAGAATAGCAGCAATTTGTTTCGGCTTATTGGCTTTAATCATCGGCATTGTACTCAGCAGTATACCATGGGTAGACTACATTATTTTGAAGGTTAGTATTTTGATATAAAAATAAATGAAATATTTCGAGAAGAATAATATATTTATGACTATTAGATTGTTCGGAAAGTTCGTGCCGATTTTGACGAAAGATTGAAACGCAACGCATTAAAGTATTTTATTTTTTTTTTTTTTTAGTACATACTTATTTAATTATATGTATATAAGTGCTATTTTGTTGCATAACCTTTTTTCATCTTAAGAGAGTAAATTAAAAAATTTGTCCTGCCAGAAAGAAATTTTCAGGTTTTTTTTTTCAGAAAACAAATCTTGTGCCATCTACCGACAATCGGCACGTACTTTCTGGACAACCCAATGCATTATAAATTTTTTTTTTTTTTTTTTTTTTAATATGAAAAAATAAACAACAGAGCTCTCTCTCTCTCTCCCTCTCTCTGGTATTATTTTTTGTTTTWAAACTCACGGATAGATATATCAATCAGTAGAAAATCAGTTTTTTAAATATACTAATCTGATTTTTTTTTTTTTTTTTTTTGAAATTATTCATTTTTACATCTAATATTTATAATACACATTTATACAGTTATGTAATAAAATCTCAAATAAATTGTTTATACTCATAACGTTATGACAAAGAAATAGAATAAACGGATTTTCTATTATTAAATGTGTTTCGTAATCATTATTATATTATTAGCCTCGATATGAATGTTTATTATAAGGATTATTATTTTCTTTTGTTTTTTTTTTCTTTTAACTATAAATACATCGAAGAATCAACAAGTTGTGTTTCAATGTTTCAATAATAGTCTAGTTCCGTTCAACCTTTCTATATTTCTCATTAATGTATATATAACGAGCAGTTCTTGTGCATAACAAATACATTTACACACACACACACACAGACATACATACATACATATATATTATATATAAATAATATATTATTCTGTCTTTCTTATGGGTTTGAGTGAGTCATTTCTTGAATACATTCTCTCACCTATTCAACACTAGGGTCACGTCTTTTACCACTTCTTTGGAATCAACAGCAAATTGTTTTTTTTCTTTTTCAAATTGGTCACCTGTATATGCATTAACCGCTGTTGCTTAATGATCTTGATGAGAACTAGTTTTTTTTTTTTTTTAAATTGCTAAAAGCCATTAATATGTATACACATACCGTACAAGTATATACACGCACGATTGTAAAACTAAAAATAAAAAATCGTTTCGTTATGCAATAAAAATATATTCTACATTTAAATAAATGTTTAGATATTAATCGAAAAAATATGTGATTGGTCATATTCACGTAGTAATAATTTTTTTCTTCTTTTTTTTCTTTTTTTACAGCAATTACGTTTATGGAATGGTTCGATTGCTTTTCATTATTGGCAAAAACCTGGTGTCGTTCGATTAACCAAAGTATACATATTCAACATGACAAATACCGAAGGCTTTTTACAGTTCAACGAAAAACCGAAACTTCAAGAAGTCGGTCCTTTTGTATATAGGTGAGCATTTAAAAGACAAACAAATTTATTTTAAAAAAGAATAAACACACATACGCGCAATTTTAATTATCTATTCATGATATACAGGGAAGATATGGAAAAAGTCAACATAGTTTTTCACAATAACGGCACTGTGACTTATCAACACAAAAAAATTTTACATTTCGTTCCTGAAATGTCCAAGGATGAAGATCTCAAAGTAATGGTTCCTAACATTCCATTGCTAGTAAGTTCAAATTATGATCAATTTTAATCATTTTTTTTTGTTAATTTATTATTATTATAAAATACGACTTATATGATTGTTGAATAGACGATAAACAATTAAACTACTATTAAAAAAAAAAACAGATGTGTGTAGATCACACACGGTAGAAGTGAAACCTTCAAAGAAAACCAAGCTTTGAAATAATTGAATTGTAATACCGCGCCATCTATTAAAAGAACCTTACAGAACCTAAATAATCTCTAAATAAAAATCTTTAAATTAGTAATAAAAAATAATTTAAAAAAAAAAAAAAATCGCGATAAAAATTGTGTTATGTGCTAAGTTGGAAAAAATTACGCGTCAAATAAAATTAATTTCATTAAGATAAATTGAGTAGTTTCGGAATTATTAATGGACAAACATATTGTGATACTGAATTTTTTATATAGAATTTAATTAATTAATTAATTAATATATAGAATTAAATTATATATTGAATTTTATTACTTAATTAATTATTTTTGTTTCATCGATTTCACATTCTTTCGTTTCACGATTTTCAAATCACCCTAATTCTAAAGAAGTTTTCACTTCAAGAATGATAAAATCTAAAATTTATGAAATTAAATTGGAATAAATTACACAATGAGTTTTTCTTTTCTTTTTATAAATTTCTTATTTAACATTCCTTTTGTCCTCGTTTATTTCACAAATTTCGTATGTATTTACAAAGATTACCTTTAATTTACGATTTCTCTACAATCGATTACGACACGATAGAAAGAGAGAGAAAGAAACTATTACTATCTTAAGTTTTATTTCATTTTCAGACACTTTCGACTCAAAGTAAAAGCCTACCTCGATTTATTACCATCGGTTTATCGATGTTCCTTAGGGGAATGAAAATGAAACCGTTTGTTCCTGTAACAGTTCAGGAACTTGTATTTGGTTACGATGATCCATTAGTTAGTATAGCACATCGATTTTTTCCAAAATCTCGACGTCCGATGAGTCAAATGGGACTCCTACTTGGGGTAAGTTTCTATTCTGCAATATATTTCAATTTTTATTTTGAAAATTGTATTTATACAGTGATAGAGCTCGTATGATTTATAATCGTCAGATTGTGTTACAACTTTCGAAATATAATTATACGTTATAAATTTATTTGATACGTATAAAAGTAACATCAAAATAATAATAATAAAAATTGAAAAAGAAAATAAAAGAATTCTTGATGATGATTTATTATAGAAACAAAACAAAAATTATGCATTAGTGTAATTAATTTAAAACAATGATAAATATTAATGATTTAAATTATTTCAATAACAATTATATTACGAGAAAGAAAGCGTCGTGTTATGCTAATAACTTGCATTTCTTTACTGTAATAAATTTAACTATATTAAGAAATTCTATAAGATGAATATTTTGTAAAGAAAAAAAATAAATAAAATGATTATATAAGATTGTTGATTATAAAATAAAATATTACAATATATAAATATACTCGAAAGACAATTTTAGGAGTGTTTGTAGTCTCGTAATATTTAAAATATGAAATGTTTCTGGTTACGATACATAAGATTATGTTTTTCTTTTAAATGAATATTTTTATTGTAGAGAAATGGTACATTAAGTGAAGTATCAACTATATATACCGGACATACTGATATGAAACAATTCGGTCTAATAAATCGATTAAATGGATTGGATCATCTACCATATTGGCCAGAAAACCCATGCAATTCTATTACAGCTTCTGAAGGTAAATTCATTTGATTTATTTCATTACATATATAATACATTCGATTTATATTTAATTTAATATTATTTAAATTATATATAATTTATATAATTATAATATATAAATTTAATAATAATAATATACGTAATTATATAATTATAATTTACTAATAGCTAATATTGTATTAGGGCATAATTAGAATTAAGTATATTGTCAAGGGGAACGAACATGTAGGGGGGGCCTTCAGGGTAAACACCCTAAAAGGGTATACCTGAAATAAACTTCTTATCTATTTATATAATTATAATTTAATATATAATTTAATATAATTTTGATTTATCCTCGATATTAACTTCTTGTGAATTTATTTTAATATTTGAAAATGAAGGCTCGTTCTTTCCGCCACGAGATAAAACTGGATCGGATTTCATGCATGTTTGGGATAAAGATCTCTGTCGTGTCTTGCCGTTGCAATATCGTGGACCAGCAAACACGAATAACATCAAATCAGATCTATTTACACCACCGGAAAATGTCTTCGGCAGACCTGATAAAACAAATCCTGATAATAAATGTTTCTGCATGAATGATCCTTCCTCTTGTATGATAGATGGATTACAAAATATCAGCCCTTGTCAGTACAGTAAGTTTATTTTTTTATTTAAAAATTAATTATTAAGCTTCAATTATTTTAAATGTAATTAGTATTATTATTATTATACATATATATATATATATATATATATATATATATATATATATATTACAGCTGCACCAGTTTTTTTATCCTTTCCTCATTTCTATCAAGCTGACAAGAAACTTCTTGATGCGATCGTAGGATTAAAACCAGTCAAAGAAATACATGAAAGTTATTTTAAGATACAACCGGTAAATATACGATAAACAATTGTTATATTTTATTTCTATTATAATAAAGAAAAGAAAACAAAAATATTTAAAAGTAACAATGAAAATGTTTTTATTTTGATTTCAGAAACTTGGTATACCTTTAGAAGGAAAAGTACGAGTACAATTAAATTTAAAAGTAGAACGTCAAACTAATATAGGCGTTGTCGAGAATTTTCCTGATATAGTGTTTCCAATAATGTGGCTTGAAGAAGGTATCGAAGAATTACCACCATCGATCAAAAGATGGGTTTACTTGGCGACAACATTCGCGGATGTCGCAGTACCTTGTGTAACTTACGGGTTTATTCTAGTCGGTTTGATAACTATAATCGCGGTCTTCGTCAAGGCCTATAACAACGTAGTGTTTACTCACGAAGCAATAGAATTAGGAAAGAGAACTATTAGAAGGGGATCTTCATTTTTAGTAAATCAACAACATCGATTACTCGTCAACAAGGACTCTAATTACGTTTTACTCAGTAACGATATCGAAGTAATATCTACCGATGTACTTGTATGATTTCAAACTATTAGATGAACAACAACAAAATGCAACAAAAATCGAAAAAAAAAAACAAAAAAAAAAAATTTGAATAGTACCAATGATATTAAATATTATTAGAAGATAAGAAATGATTTGATTAAGACGAAACTACTGCTATTTATCATCATTTTGATGATAAACACACAGGTCACACCAAAGTTTCGCAAAAAAAAAAAGAAAAGAGAAAATGGTTTGTCGTTTAACGAGCTAATAATAAAATGGACGAGATTATATTAAATATTATAAATATTATAAAAAGTGGTAAAAATCGCAACTCCGTTTATCGTTTACACTAAAGTTTTGAAAATACGAGTAGTTAGAGAAATGTTCAGAGTTGATAATTTCACTTTTTTTTTTTCGTCATGTCTGTGATTTCATCCCTTTATTTATAATCCTCAGAATAAAAAATAATGCAATTTGCATTGTATCCAATTGGTCAACGATCGAAATGAACATTTTATTATAATTATCATTTTGATCTTATTTTTTATATTCAAAATAATATGTTTATTTTCGTTGACTAATTGAAATAACCTCAGTTCAAATCTAGTACGATTACTATGATCATAGATTTTAATATACTTTTTTATTAATAATTATCACAAAAATTTGATAATAGAACAAATTTCTATGTGGTATAAATACGTTGATGTATTTTCTTTTTTTATTTTTTTTTATTTTTTTTTTTTTTTTTAATTAACAAATATAAAAATGATTGAAATTATTTTCAGATATACGTATATATGACAATTCTAAATTATCTTATAGTTAATCTAATTATCTGTAGGGATTAGAACAAAAAAAATTGGTCATAATAACATTAAAAAAATTAAAATTAATATTTTTACAAACTTCTTCGTCGTACAATTTTATTGACGATTATTTTTTTATAATTATTATTTTTCTTTTTTTACCTCGGTAGTATGTAATGATTAATTGTAATAAAACTATAGGGTGGTATTTAGCGAATGTTAATTGTGTATATAAACATTCGAATATTTGAATATTATTCTTTAATTTTATAATTCGTTATAAGAAAATTGAAAATTATTGATTAAATAAATATGGTAACTTCGTTTTTATATTAGAATAATGATTCAAAGTTTTTTTTTTTTCAATAATTTAATGTACGTCTTTTTATCAATTTTGACTAATTTTGGGATTAATAAAAATTTCATTGCATAAAATAAACGACAATTTTTAATTTCCATTCTATTTCTTTCTCCATCTCTGTCTGTCTCGTCACAAAACCGATAAGGATGGAAGTGTATCTTACAATTAAAAATCGCAACCCTTGAATAAAATTTAAATGAAAAAAAATAATCACCACAATGGCGTGAGTTCGAGAATCCCATCCGAAAGTTTTAAACTAAATAGAACGAAGAAATTGTAACCGGAAGTAAGAAAGTAACCAAAAGTAAGGAAATAACCGAAAGTTAGGAAGTAAGGAAGATATTTCAAATTCACAGAAAGACTATCTTTATAGTTATATTATATATATATATATTATAACTATATATATAGTTATATTATAGTAATATGGTTATATTATAGTTATATTATAGCTATCCCCATATAGTTATATATATA